AATTTTAAGTTGAAAGAATGAAATAAAAAGAAAGAATTTTAGAATATAAAATATCTAATTTTAAGTTGAAAGAATGAAATAGAAAAAGATAATTTTAAAATATAAAATAATTAATTTTAAGTTAACAGAATAAAATAAAAAAAAAAATAATAATTTTAAAATATAAAATATCTAATTTTAAGTTTTTGCATGCAGAATCTATTAGGGCTGTCAGGATTGTTTTCTAATAATAACTGAATGAAACGAAAAGAAAAAAGAAGAACGAAACAAAGAGACGAATTTTGAAAGAACGTCGAATCAAGCGTGCATCTCTCAGATTTCGCAGATACGATTTCACAAGAGATTCGGAACATTTCCTAATGTGTGTTACACTCACATCAGACAGATGGTCTGGTACGATTATTAAAGTCATTCAGCTGCTGATTGTCGTCCAAGGTTCCTACTACTTAAGTATTTCGTGCGTGTAGAGTCGGCGTAGGTTGTTCGCCAATGACTCGCTTGCTCAATTCGGCGTACGTGTCTCACAAACTGTTATTCCGCACGTAATTTTGAGGAGAGTGGAACATAACTACTCGAAATTCCTCGGTTGAGTGAGACGTTCGATGTAGCCATTCAAAATAAATCAAACGTCGAATACCAATGAAATATAAAAATTATAGTGACGTGTAAACTCACGAAGGTATTTGAACGAAGGTTCGTGATGGAAAATTCTTCTGAATATATATTACGTCTAACGAGAAACATGATTATTGTGAGTCGTGTCGATAAAATTTAAGATTAATCTGAAAATGTATATATATTGGTAAAATTTAAAACTAATCTGTAGAAATGATCAGTTTGTAATTTGTAAAACAGTGCATTCTTGGATATTTCAATGATTTTCCGTAATATATATATATATATATATATATATATATATATATATATATATATATATATATAAATAAAAACTTGTACATGTATTTCATTGTGATAAAATTTTTTTATCTTTTAATGTTTCTAATGGAAATTTTTTCGAAATTTTGATCGTCGGTAGTTCCAGCGTTAAAAAAAATAGAATTTCGGTAGGAAATTGTTTTATGCACTGAATGTTATAGGAAGCATCAAACTTTGAATATTTTATATATATATTATTTTATATATATCTTGTATAAATTTGTTATATATTATTTTATATATATTTTGTATAAGTTTGTTATATATTATTTTATATATATTTTATATAAATTAGTTATATATTATTTTATATATATTTATATAAATTTTTTATATATTATTTTATATATATTTTATATAAAATAATAAACTTGTTATATATTATTTTATATATATTATATATAAATTTGTCATATATTATTTTATATATATATTTGTTATATATATTATTTTATATATATTATATTATATTTTAATTATATTTTATTTATATTTATATATATTTTTACATTATGTACACATGTAAATTTTTTACAAATGCTTGAAAATTCGCGATCTATTCATCTGGTATGAAATATATATAAAAATTACTAATCTGAAATGTATCAAAGAAATGTATGTAGAAATTACTAAAATGTAGCGAAAATTATATTTACATATGTATATAATATTTTTAAATCGGCGATTTTTACACAATTTATTAACATAAAAGTCAAACTTCTGTCGGCATCTATATCTTTAATTAAAAAGATAGATTTTCTACTCCTCGAAATAGGAAGTTTCCTGAATTTATAACTTCCAGTAAATGCAGTGCGATGAACATGAAATAACAATTACATTTAACAATTGCGTCACGTGATGGTAATCACGTATGTATACTCACTATACATACGTGAATCTAATTATTAGCTTCCTTGATTAAACGTTAATAATAATTGCTCCTGGCATCCGTTCGCAATCTTATCGACTTTGTGCCTGACTTTGTTATTTACAATGTCAGGTTGCAGAGATTATTATCAATCGAAGAACGGAAGTCGCGTTACGGCGAAGAAAAAGATGCACTTTTTATCGTGTTCTTTTATCTTTATTCGGAGATAATTTACTGTTGCTGATAGCAAATGGCCATTTTGCATTTGTAAGTTAAATAAATAATTTTCCCAGGATCTGGGCAAAGATCAAAATTCAATTGAGTAATTTTTTGCAAAATTTAAATTCAAGTTTCATAAATCACAAAGTACAAAAACGCTAGAGCTAAAGAACATTAAGAGAGAGAAAAAGAAGAAATTGCAAATAGAAGTGTTGCATTAACGCAACATTCTGTTGGATCTTAACCCTATAACGATCGATGACGTTACTGCAGCGTCATGTGAGTCTCGATGTTAGTAATCAATGACGTGATAGCGGCGTCATATGATTCTCTGTTCAAAGTCAGTATCAAAAAAAAAAAAAAAAAAACATTCACTTCAACTGTGTAAGAAGCTAATTAAAATTCGTCTGTATCGAGAAAACAATCTCTGATTGAGAAACAATTCCATTGAACCTGTGTTAACAACGTTATTGTAACGCCACACGATTCTTAATGTTAGAAATCTTGAAGATGATGTTATTCTAACATCGTGTGATTTTTAGCCATCAATTTAGCTGTCGAAAAATGAATTGTAATAATTTATATATAATTTTATTATTGTAATATTTTTGTAATAAATTTTAAATTAAATATTATAATAAATTAAAAATAAAATTATTATAATAGTTTGTATGATAAATAATATTTATGTAATATTAATTATATAATAATTATATATATAATTTATATATTGTATAATATATTTATTATATATAGTAATATAAAAAATAATATTTATGTGATATTATATTATATAATAATTATATTAATATATTATATATTTTTTATTTTATATATAACTTATATATTATATAGTAATTATATATATTTTTTATTATATATATTATATATGTTTATATCCATATTTATTTACATATACAAAAGGTACTTTTATTTTACTTCTCACGGATTTGTCTTTGTACGTTATACAAGTTCTTAATAAAATTGGCGAAAATTGCTACTGAAGGTATTAGTGGATTAATAAAGTGTCGATACACTTATAGAACAACAGTGTATAGTGCATAACACAAATAAAAGCCGCAGATGAAGGACTGGTTCCGTGGCCCACATTTGGCGTTTACTTATCTATTCCAGTAGTTAGAGTCACGTTGCACAATGTTCTCTCTCTTGAGTAATGGACGTTCAACTCCATTGACGGACAATATGCACACGTATTGCTCGGGTCAGGTGATCAAAATAATGATTGGCTGGAAATAAAAATCGTTATTAGAAGAAACGTCAGAAAGATTTTTCTCTTCGCATGTATCACACAACAACCGGTCGTTGTTTTTCACATTCTTCTGTTTCATTCTCGACTGAATTATACAACAAACACGACCAACTAACCAACAACCTACTACTTATATTTTATTCTCGTGGAACATGCGTTGTTATTTCTTCGTTACATAGTGTTACAACGTTAACATAACGAGAGAAAAATTTTTTTTTTTGATAAAATATTTTCAAATTTATCGGAATATTGTGTCTCAGTGGTGATTGTGTTGTATATTTTTTGCAAGTACCTCAGATGCCTCAGAGCCTCTTGTGAAGTAAAGAGGCTTTCAAAAATTGCATCTCACGACAAAATTATGCGTGGATGCGAGTTTTATAAATTCATAATGGGCTTCAGCAACAGTATCCTCACTAAACGATCATTGTATACTTTGCTCCCCCAAGACAAGGATGAATAGTGAAGTTTACTATGAATTAATATAACGTGAGCAGGTAAATGTATTTGCGGGAACAAAATGCCATCTAGCGTTCTCCGTACGAAGCTTCAGATTTACGTACTTGTACGAAGCACAATTCGCTCGTTCATTTTCCTCAGCCTTGTTAATTAAATGACTTTTATTAAATATCAAAGAAACATTTGAATATTCAGCGATACAATCTTCGGCGTAATTTTAATTTTCTAAAGTTTTACTTTTATATTTGATAATTAAACTGTAGATCGCAGCAGTTTCGCTGGTTTTCTTTTAAAATAATCGTCTGTAATTAGAGATAACGTGGATATCGGATAAACCGCAAACCACTAGCAATGACCTAAAAAAACAACAAGTTATAAGTTCTGGCTTTAATAGTTACTCTTTGTAATATCGAGCCACGTTATTACTAAATTTTCAATAAATCTCGAATTATGTTTCGCCTGGCCTCGATTCTTCCGTATTTTTGAGAACCATGGTTACTTCCTTAACAATAGTAGTATCATTTTAGTAGCAGTTTCATTTTCCCCTTCAGCTTTGGATTAATAAAATTTTTAGATCAATAAAACACGTCAACGAAAAGTTTAAATTAATTTTCTACATTTCAATTGAGTATTAATCAGGAACGTCTAACAAGACGTTTATCTTACTAGAAACAAAGCTGCTTAACTTTTTAAAAATGAAATTACTTCATTGTAATCTTCAGATTTTATATCTGCACTCTTATTATTATTTGTCGTTATAAACAAGTACAAGGTAGGCACTTTAGAATTTTTCACGCGAGAAAGATAAAAACATGGGAGGAACGAGATTTTATTCAAAGATATAGATAATGCACGCCCTTTTCAACTATGTTCCAAGTAGCCCCTTTGCCAAATTTTTGACTACAAAAATCATTATCAAGCGATCGATGGATATTCGACAAAAACGTTGATTTAGAGTGCGTAATGACTCTAAAAAAAAAAAAAAAAAAAAAAAAAAAAAAAAAAAAANAAACGTTGATTTAGAGTGCGTAATGACTCTAAAAAGAAAAAAAAAAAAAAAAAAGAAGAAGAAAAATGATATCCGTTATCATCTCGTTCTTATCTCGGAGCAGTAGACGCATCATTTGTCGCCGCAAATAAGGGAGCAACAAATTGCAAAATTGCAATTCTACTCGCTCTTTTCCTCTTTTCCGAATTGGTCGAATTTCCTTTGTTCTCGAAAATTCCTTCACATTGAGAAATTCTTCACCGATTGTCGACAGCTGCTTATCTTATCTGCACGTGTATCTAGAAACTAACGAAGATTTGTATCCCTTAAACAACTTTGTTTTCTACAGACTCTTTCTACAGACAGTCTGTTAAGTGTCGAAATCCGTAGGAATTATTTTAAAAGAACGATCGAGATATAAGAAGACGAGCTTATATATACGTTCATTCGAAAACTTTGGATTATTTTTTTTTTTTTTTTTTTTCGTATAAAAATGAGTTTTGAATGCAGGACAGTTTGCAAGGTCTTTAAATTATTTAAATTACTTTCGATTAAAAAAGAAAGAAAGGGAAACAATTATGTACAAATTATATAATTATATAATTATAAAATTATTAATTTAAAATTATAAAGTTATTATTAATTAAAATTATAAAATTATTATTAATTAAAATTATAAAATTATTATTAATTAAAATTATAAAATTATATTTTATAATTATTATTAATTAAAATTATAAAATTATATTTTATAATTATTATTAATTAAAATTATTATTAATTATGTAATTATATAATTATAAAAAATTTTTGTAGAAATTTGCCAGTAGAAAAGTATTTCTGTTTGTATCAGTCAACATTGTTAACAATAAATACAAATTAGTATAGTCATGAAATTAATGGTCAATCAAAGACAAATCAATTTTAATTCTTATAAACGACATATGTAGAAGAAGCAAGTCATATTTGTCGTTTTTTTCTTTTATAAAAATCTAATTAACAAATGATTTATGATCCTTTTTGGGTTAACAGAAATTAGCAATACGTGTAGAGAGTAGAAAGTATGTTTCGTCTGACGATGGAAAAAACAGAAAATGGTCGCTGTAAGCAAACAATTTAACAGTAATTTATTACAAAGCCCGTCTTCCTGTCCCACGACTCGTTATTCGAATCACGATGATATTTGTTCAAATGTTCCGTCGAAGTCGGCCCGATTTGTCAACGAATGGATCGTCCGCGTGACTTCGATCATGTTCAAATTCGCTCTCTATATTGAGTAACTGTAATCTTCCGTAACGTCCGTGCGCATCTCTCCTTCCTGCGTTTATGATCCTTCGTCGATCAAATGCAATTCCATTGTGCATCATGTTTCATCATGTAGTTACCAGTTACGTATAATGTTCCAGCTCGAGATTCTGAATCAAAAAAGAACGATTAGGTTATTCGTGTTTACGGGGATTCATTATACAATATAATTTTGTATTTTGTTATTTCATTATTATTTTATTATTTTATACTTTTATTATTTTATTATTTTTCTGTTATTTTATACTTTTATTATTTTATTATTTTTTTTCTGTTATTTTATACTTTTATTATTTTATTTTTTTCCTATTATTTTATTATTTTTCTGTCATTTTATACTTTTATTATTTTTTTTTTCTATTATTTTATACTTTTATTATTTTATTTTTTCCCTGTCATTTTATACTTTTATTATTTTATTTTTTTCCTGTTAATTTATACTTTTATTATTATTTTTTTTTGTGTTATTTTATACTTTTATTATTTTATTTTTTTTCTGTCATTTTATACTTTTATTATTTCCTTTTTTCTGTTATTTTATACTTTTATTATTTTATTATTTTTCTGTTATTTTATACTTTTATTATTTTATTATTTTTCTGTTATTTTATACTTTTATTACTTTATTATTTCCTAAAGTATTGTCTTCTAAAGTCTATTAATTTTATTAATGTAAGGTATTTTCAATCAATGAAAATTACAATGCAAAATCATATTACAATTGCAATGCAAAATTACAATTAAAAATCATATTACACATTACTTTAGAAAGTAAAAGACTAGAAAGCAAAGCAATTGAATCAAACTTCGCTTTGCTTATTGAAATATTCCGAGGCTACATCTAAGTATGTACATACGTACATTTTTATATAACTATCATACGCATTCTACATACTTTAGACTTTGCCAGACTTCAGCCTTTTTTAGACTTTTAGACTTCCTTTTAGATTTTTAGTTCTTGTTTATCATTTTCGTTCGGCTTATATAACCTGAATCACGTTATCGATCAATTGAATTTATTGGCTCGAATAATTTTTCATAATTCCCGTTAATCCGTTTATCAACTCGATTCCACTTTATCTGAGAGAGAAACTAATGCGTGCACGATTGCACGACAATCTATCATTACATTCTATTTGTTTAATCAACAAATTTCTCGTTCAATATTCGCAAGAAAAAAAAAACATTCCGATCGTGCAATTCATCTTTCAACGAATTCTCGAACATTTCTCTCCCAGTCATTTCCTTCGATCGTCAGCTCTGACGATCGTTTCATCAGTTGCTTGATAACGATCTGAATCGTGTCAACCGGCGATTTAGCAAAGCTCTCTCTCTCTCTCTCTCTCTCTCTCTCTCTCTCGCGCGCGCGGATCAATCTTTCCATAGCACGTGTATTATATTTTCCGCGAAACCGGTGAACGATTTCCAACGAGAGGTCTCGAAGACAGTTTCGAGAGCTTAATTATTCGCGTGTCGAACCGAATTGCAGAAGGCGTTGCCATCGACGAAACGAGTATGTGAGCGTTCCACATACGCGTACACCTGACACGGCGAATTGATTTGGATAAATGTATCTTAACGGTGTACGATTATGTACAATGAACAGACCTCATCACGAGGTCTGGCTCCTTTTGTCGTGCGACACCCCACCACAAACACACACACACACACACACACACACACACACACACACACACACACACACACACACACACACACACACACACAC